TGTCACAGTGTTGGGGAGCCTGAGCAGTTCCTTGAAGCTGCAGGGTCTATGAAGAGAATTGGGCAAGGTTTACTTCCACAAGACTTGGTCCGAAAATACGATGTGAGGGGTTGGAGAGACAGTGGCGAGGACGATCAGGCTACTTCTAGCTGATTGATCCATAACCCGCTCTCATGATCTTTTCATAAAATCAGGCACGGGGATGACGAGAAATAGTTCAAGGCCACCAGCGTGTTTCTTCAGGTGTCCATCGACGGAGATGACCCTGAATAGCTTGTCTTACCCCTGCAATTAAGAGGATCAATAAGTTGCGGTGGGTTGTATGCTTATCTGCCGGGCCTTGGATCGACATCTTCTTTATGCCGACCGATGCCAATATGAACGTTCTAGTCCATTCGAATATTACATCGCAACGTATATAGTTCATATCGTTTTAACACTTCAATATGTTGTCATAACTGCCGCTGCATCCACAAACTTGCTCGTGTTTGCACACGAACTCTGCGCATCAAATGCACATGATTGAGATATGTAGTATGTAGAGCAAGTTGCGAATTCATCGAGTACATCAAAGATGGATATCCTTGTTTCGGAACTTTCTAAGCCTGATGTCGAGGAGGATGAGATGCGATTGGCGCCCACGCGCCCACTTAATCCGTGATCTTCCTTCAAGGAGGATCATTCCCGGCATCCTCCTTACCGACCGAGCGGCGCACTAAGGCTTCAGAGCCTCGGTCCAGAACAATCCAATCAATTGTTCCCTTTCGACGATCTCCAGTCTTTTGATCAATAGTCGGTTAGTTCGGAGCAACCAACTTGACTGTGGGGTATGATGAAGGGAAACCTCCCTGTTTTGTCTTCATGGCCAAGACAACGGTGTGGCAGTTGTGCCCACATCGACCGTTTGTGAGCTCATGGGTGCTGGAGAAGAAACGACATGCATAATGAGAAATGGGAAATATCTCCTAAACCCCGTGAAATGGTGCGACTAGGCAGACCAACTAAGAACCAATCAACTGGGTCTGACAGGTGTGATGGCCAAGTCCAAGCGCTCCGAAGCAGGCCAGGCAAGTCAGGATGCCTGCATTCCAATAGGAACAGAACATTATGCACGGTCTTCTGCCCGGTGGTATTGCCGCAGAGAGACCAGTGTCACGCCGCATTGATCCTCGACGGGAGTGCCGTGTCAATCCGCACAGATGCTTCCCGATTTTTTTGATTGCGAACGACAGGTTGAGACATTGGTGTCTACGGACGAAGCCACCAATCAGTATGAAACGGGGGAATCGCAAGAAACATCGTTTTTGGACGAACTAGGCTCCATCGCCTCAAACTTGGGATGACATCGTGGTTCCTTTGAGGCTATCCCTGGCCCTCCTATCGAGTTGTGAAGACTTTGAGCTTCGGGAGTTGGGCTGACAGGCCTCGAGGTATAAGAGCATGAGATATCACTGGGCATCAGGATATATGTTGAAGGATCAGTAGGAACATCAAGAACCATCCAGTCCCTTCACGACTTCTCACTTTCGCTTTTTTTCAGTCACACATCTGCCAATCAAGTGCAGCGCACACTCTTTCAACCGTCGCCATACCAGACTTCGCTCTTTTGACAAGACATTCCCTTCAGAAACAACCACAAACAACCAAACCAACTCCCTCAGAATGAAGACCGCTGCCATCACCACCATGCTCTTCGCCGCCCTCGCGGCCGCTAGCCCCGTTGAGATCCGCCAGACCTCAGGCTGCAAGGCCTTCACCGTCCTCTTCGCCCGCGGCACCACCGAGATGGGCACTCTCGGAACCGTTGTCGGCCCCGGTCTCCAAAAGGCCGTTGCGTCCAACGTCCCCGACTCCGTCTTCGAGGGCACAACGTATGCAGCTGACATGGCCGGCATTATGTCCGAGGCAACTGGCTCCGGCCCGGGTAGTGTCGCCATGGCCAACCAGGCCAACTCGTGGCTAAGCAAGTGCCCCCAGACCAAGATCGTCCTCACTGGCTACAGCCAGGGCGGCATGGTCGTCCACAACGCCGCTAAGAAGCTCTCGGGCAAGGCCGTCGCTGCGGCCGTCACCTTCGGTGACCCGTTCAAGGGCCAAGCTGTCACTGGTGTTGCTACCGCCAAGTTCAGGAGCTTTTGCGCTGCTGGCGACGGCGTCTGCTCCGCTGGTGGCTGCGCCAGCTCCGGGAGCTGCTCGAGCCAAAGCGCCTCTGGCCACATTGGATATGGCGCCGATGTCAACACCGCAGGCACCTTCCTCAAGGGTGCTCTCGCTTGAGTGCAACATCAGTGAGGCATGTACGTCTTGATAGAAGGAGCATCTACCTGTAGATGCTTGAAGGGAGCCCTGGATTTGTGGCATGGATATACGATTGGATGTCTGGAACTTTCCTTTCTTCACAGTATGGCTTTAACCTTCTTGTATTGAATACACCTACCTAGTCAATGACACTGGTTCTTACTTCAAACTCCCAAATTGATACCCCATGAGATCCACCATCGCGAGATAACGTCGATCTAGTTGTGTCTATCTATAGACATACCACCACTCATTACCTTAAGAATACTGACATAATTGATCGCTTCAAAAGACTGCACTGGACTTTGTGTCCTCCGCCCTTTGACCCTACATGTTGATGGGCAATTAAGCCTCATCACTGTCACTTTCGTGGGTACTGAACTTCACACGAGACTCTCTCCATCTCTGAAGTAACGGCAGACCAACACCAGTCCAGACAGTCAACGCCACCACAAATGCAAGCGCGCTCTTCCACCCATGTGTCTTGGCAAATGCAGGGGCCTGTCCGCTCGGCATCTGCAGTTGCTGGAAGGGAATCACAACAGCCTGGCCGACGGAGACCATGAAGCCAAGCACAAAGGCGCGCTTCTGCTGATCGCCACCGCAGGCCTCATTCGCCCATCCCGCCAGCAAAGGCGTGTAGCAACCATAGCACCCTGCAAGGATGAAGACGGCCATGCGTAGCATATGTGGCACGCTCCATGCCGCGAGGACGGCGTAGACGAACGTCAAAAGACACCCGACGGCGAAACAGACGGGTCCGCGCCGGCCAATTTTGTCAGAGACGTAGCCCGTGGAGACCATGAACACGAAGTTGATGGCACCAACGCAGGTTGGGATGTTGTTGATTTCTGGCACGGTGTACAATTTTGTTGACTTGAGGTACAGAGTGAAGTATTGAATGATGTAGGAGCCGCAGGTCAGAGTCCAGAAGGAGTAGGCTGCTGTGAAGGCGTAGACTTGCCATGAACCGAATACGCGGGCTATAACGGACCAGTTCATCTTGCCGACAGGTTTGCGGCCTTCTTCTTCAATCCGCTCGCGAGCACGTTGCTTTTCCCAGTCACTGAGGTAGAAAGCCTTTGTCGTGTGAGGGGTATCGGGGAAGCAAATCTAATAATGACGTTAGAAAGATGCGATGTTCTATGGAAGTCAATATCGAAGAGAGGTACTTACGACGCCATAGATCACCACGGGAATGGCAAGAATGAAATCAAAGACAAAAAGCCATCGCCACGCTGACAGACCACCCTTTCCGCCCATACCCGAATACAAGGCAGACTGAAGATAGCCGGAAAACATCTGCCCCAAGACACCGCTCATGACGAAAAGGCCAGAGCGGCGGGACAATTCGCTTTTGCGATACCATGATCCGAGGACATACATGACGCCAGGCCATGCGGCAGACTCAAACAAGCCGATGAAGAAACGCAGGACATAGAACTGCGTGGCGGTCTGGCACTTGAACAGGAAAAGCACGAAGAGAGACCAAGTGCAGAGGCACCCGGTCAGCCAGAAGCGCGGTCGGACGACAGTGATGATCAGGTTGGCAAAAGAACCGCCAATGATGGTTCCAATGTTGAAGTACGTGTTCATCCAGGACAGTTCGTTGCCGGGACCGAAGTTGAGCTCTTCCGACATGCCGGATACGTAGGCATTGGAGATGTTGTTTTGGTCAAGCTAAAAAAGAGCACTGGAGTCAGCACTCCGGCTGAACGCGATGCTTGGGGGTAGGTGCATTTACCTGTTTGATGAAGAACATGAGACACGAGAATGAAAGTAGAAACCAATCTAACTTGAAAATCAACTTCTTCTCTTCCGGCGATGTGCCGGGCTCGTGCCAGTGGAACCATCCCGCGAATTCAGGTTGCTGTGGGGGCTCCGGCTTGGTATCGGTCTCGGCCGCGACGGACGTGGTCGAAATGCCGTCCTTATTTTGGCTCCGGTTGGTTGGGCCGACTGTCTTAATGGCATTGGCCGCGTTGGTATCGAGATGCGGCGCCATCCTGGTTCGAGCTGCAGCTATCACTAAATTTGATCTCGTCGCACGATCACAAGAAAACTCCCAACGTGCCCACGGTCGATGATCTAGGCCAAGCAGATGGAGCGTCTCTGGCAAAAGTGAAGATTGAACCTGGGCAGGAGATTCTTTATCATAGCATATCCCTCCCTCGATACACTAGAGAAGCGGTCGATAGTCCGAAAAAAGAGACTTGATAACGATTTTTACTGGGTCGAGCACGACATCGGCAGTCGTTTCTTCAAGCTGACTTGACCGAGACTGTCCTGTCACCGACTCACCATTGGCGGCGAACAAAGCGCCATCGAGAACAAAATCTTTTTCCCTTCCGATGTGGTATCGGGGAGGGGCCTTGTGTCTTTACCCCTTTGGGAAGTTTCTGTCGGGCTAGTTCCGGTGCTTAGTGACTCCTTACTCGCACGCCAAGCAAAGGCCGCTCTCGCTTCGGCTCGCTGGATCTCTCCCCGCTTCTTCGGCTTCTTATGCAATACGCCCTTTGGATAACGGAACGGCGCCTTACCAGAAGTCCTCAACGCTGTGTTGATCTAACGTGATAGTAGCTATCAAACACATACTAGTCAAAGTTCATGTTGCTACCTTGTCCGTGAACTTTGAGGATCTCTGATGACTCCTTGAATTACCAGCGCTATTTTGAAACTACTGACTCGGTGCTCAAGACAAGATGGTTGACTTTGTGAACATCAATGGCGCCCGCCTGGCATATCGCATAGCTGGGCCTAACAATGCACCGCTCATGATCACGCTGCATGGCGGTCGCGGAATGGGTATACTGATTGAAAGTCCAGCGTGACAAGACAAGCTTGCTGACCAGAATTGACATTATCTAGGTGATCATAAATCCGACTTCAAAGTCTATGGCCAGTTAAGCGATAAGATTCGAGTTCTGTCCTTCGATTACCGTGGCCATGGCCAAAGTTCGTTGACTAAGCCTTACACCTTTGAGCAAATCGTCGATGACATCGAAGCGGTAAGACAGCATTTCATTGGAGATGATCAGGCCATCATCTGCGGCGGTAGTTTCGGCGGTTTCCTCGCACAGCACTATGCCATCAAGTACGCCCCGAAAGTATCGCATCTGATTCTCAGAGGGACTGCACCATCTCATCACCGTGAGTTGCGCAACCTGCACTGGCTTTATGAGGGCTGAGCGTTGACAACATCACCACCAGACGAGGCCGGCGCCGTCAAAACTCTGGAGGCGAGGATACACAAAGTTCCTAGCTTCTCTGTCGACATGTTGAAGAACAAAGTCTTTGGTGCATATGAGAGCGACCGCGAGTTTCAGTTGATTTACTTCGCCATGATGCCGCTGTACAGGGAAACTTTCGACCCCGATGCGGCGTTGAAGAGCAACCTCGATGGTGTTTACGTCGCCGAGTCTCACAGTAAGTAAACTTCAACCGAGTCGATTTGTGAATTATCCAGACTGATTGACATTCAACTCAGATGATCTATACTCCGAGAAAGAGAAATACTTTGATTACACTGAACAACTCTCTGAAATTACAGCGAAGACTCTGGTAGTCGTGGGCGACAAGGATTGGATATGTCCTCCTGGTAGGAACTTTACCAAAATTGTAGAGTAACTTGGTCCACGCTAACCATGAAACGTTGCAGAAAACTCCAAGTTGATTGCTGAAAGAATCCCCGGAGCTAGACTTTTGTTGGTTGAGGGCGCTAATCATGGTGTTCATGCCGAAAAGCCAGAAGTGGTCCTGGGAGAGATTCGCAAGCACTTGGACATGTAGTCTCAACATTCTTGTCAAGCTGCTTTGACTGCCTATCGGCATGGCGCTTCGGTTTTCCGATGAGTTTTATACTTACGAATACCATTGGCAATGAAAGCACGCCTTATGACTTGGCGGACCATAATGCACTTCATTGGGAACATCCTCCATTTTACAAGGGAAATGGGTTAACGTTACTTGGGTACATGCGACTCATTCTCTATAGACGCTAGTGTTATTCATGAATCTTACGTCAACTTTTCACCGGCCTGGTTTTGTTCTCTTTAGTAACGCTATGCCGTACTTCTCTCGTAACCTTGATGATTCGCCGTGTGCTCTCCGCGTCATCGTCATGGTTGCTGTTGTTGCTGTCATTATCCCCCGCTCCCCCAATCACCGTCACTCCTAGGTCCGTTTCGTATATCGGACCCTGTCGTCCCTTTCCCTGTCCAAAGGTCACGAGGTTTGTGTCGCCCGAACGGTTGTAGGGTTCCTGCGTGCTGGTATCCTTGGCCAATCGTTTGAAGAAAGCTCGTAGCATTGGTAGCGAGCCAGCAATGATGCCTAGGCCACATTCGACGATTGTCCAGAGAACTATGTTACCTGCATGGTCTACATAGTTGCAGGAATGTCAGTGTGCTGCTTTGTACGGATTGTAGCGAAACAATCGGGATGCGCGGGTCTTCTTACACAGAACGTCGCTCGCTTTCATGTACGCATTCGTAAAGGGTACTCGGATAATACTCGCAATGCCAGCTCTACCAACAAAAGTAGTTAGTCAAAGCCTCATGTACACAATCCCCTACGTTTAGCAGAGATCTTAGAATATCACTTACAAGAGACCCAGTCCCAGAATGAGCCGCACGTAGAACTTAAGTCGGGATCGCATTTGCACATGCCGAAGCAGAAAGAACGGAATTGCCGCAACACTGAAGTCGGTGATGACATTGGCAACGGATGCCCCGTACGAAAGCGCGGTGGCCACGATTGGTGGCCAGCAAGTTCCCGGTATACTCTTGTCCCAGTACCTGTCGAGGGGGTGGCATTGATTCAAGATGACGATTAGGCCGGAGCCGCTCATCAAGAAGGAGAGGCCTATCAATCCTCGCAGGATCCAGAGATAGACCTTCTGATTTGTGATGCGCATTAGGGTGATGCAGATGCTGGACTTGATGAAGCACAAGCTGCCAGCGTAAAAGGCTTGCCAGATCAAGAGTGTCTAGTTTTCGTTGACCGCATAGATTTAGCAACAATAGGCCTACTAATTTGTATGTAGTAGGTCTGTCCAATGCCATCATAACGTACCTTGTAGCCCTCTATGCTCGTCGCTCGATTCATGGTCTCATCTTTGCTCGCTATGCCAGTAAAAGACCCGTAGATCGCAACAGCGGACTGGCCCAAGTTGACAGACTAAACGAACGGTCTTGCAGTTAGCTTCTTTTCAGCCGACCAAAAAATAGTCAACCTACGAATCCTGTCAACATAGCCCAGTCGTCCGAATCGATTTTGTTCGTCTTGAATCGAATGAACACGCGCATGGCCATGACGATAGTTGTCAGAATCGCCAACGTGACGGTAGTGACTAGGAGCCCCAATGCGAGCCCCTGAGGCTCGACGGCCTGCCACGTATCGTCTCCGGCCACATTGGACATGACGATTCCTCTCCGCCGATTTCGTAGTAGCTGAGCCGGAGACGAAGAAATAGTCTTGGGACGAGTCTCGAAGAGGAATACATTTCGGTTTCTACATTCTGCGAAGACGCTACTAGTAGTGAAGAGGGTTTCGGAGAAAATGTACAGACAGCAAACCTTGCCACCGAAGCGGAGGTGATGACCGTGGTCCCTCATGGGAGGACCAAAGTTCTCTATTGCACCTAGGTCCCTGACATCCCTGGCATGGACTCGAAGGAGCGTCTTTGCATGTGCGTTGGCCTGATCCAGCTGCGAACCGCGTCAGGTACGAATACGTCAAGCTCGGGTTCAATCAAAAAAGTCTGTTGGAGAATTAAACGGATTGGAACACCCCGGCAAATGCACCAGTGTGGGATGTTGGTTGTGTGATAGTATGCGGTACTTGACAGGGGCCCTGGACATGTGGTATGGAGACGGGAGACGTCAAAGCGAAAGGTTGCATATGGAAACCCAGCACCAACAGTATCTTGGCAAGTCGGCAGCAGGGAACGAGGGGGACTACTCCGCCCGTACGGAGTAGAAAGTACATTTCTTCGTTCTTACATATACTATGTAATGCATTCTGACTTTCCAGTCAAGGTGTTGAAGGTGTATTGTCTTGTTGAATCATTATCCGTCAAAGTTCATGGATCATGGACTTTGTCTAATTTTCCTGATTGCGAGTGTTTCTGACCTTAAACTATCCCCTATACATGGATAATCTATGCGAGTCGAAGTGCCTGGGCATTGGACGCCCAACAGGATGGATACGCGGCCAGCGGATGGTCTGACCCAGTACCCGCCCGCATCATCCCCGTTGACAGCTGAGCCGGGGATATATGCAGGAACGCGGGGTTAAAGCAAGTTGTCGTCTTGAAGATAACTAGAGTCGGGGTCCTGGTCGTTGACCGCCCATCCTTCTGAAAAGTCCGTCCGTCTTGACCTTCCTGAGCATATCTGAAAAAGGGCCCCTGAGCGAAGATCCTCATCCTATAAGACCATCCAGCAATGGTTCTGATGTCACCTAGCAAGTCATGTAATTGAACCCCCTTTTTCTTCCTTTTTCCTGATCTTTGAAACCGACTTTTGTGCCAAGGAGCATATCATTGTGAAAATCTGATTTATCAACAGCGCAAGCGAGTCAGAAACACACCTAGAATCTATACCATCAAGCTTGCACTTTGACCACTTATCATGGCCATCGAATACGAGGTCAAGGGAAAGGTAGCCCTGGTTACAGGAGCTGGATCTGGTAGGTAGTCTCCATCTCTACCAGACCTTCAATGACGATACCCTTGGGTATTGATCGAAGATAACTCGATCGCCGGCTTGCATGATATTCATGATTCTTCTAGGCATCGGTCTAGCCATCACCCAGCGCCTTCTCAACGAAGGCTGCTCGGTAATGATCGCAGACCTCGCCCTCCGCCCAGAAGCCGAGACCACCATCGCAAACTTCCCCCATCCGTCTCCATCCGCAGACAAGCCCACAGCCGCCTTCCACAAGACAGACACGACAAACTGGGCCCAACTCAAATCTCTCTGGGCGGCAACCCTCGAAAAGTTTGGCCGGGTCGACATCGTCGTTAATAACGCCGGTATCTTTGAGCCGCCCTGGTCGTCCTTCTGGAACCCGCCCGGCGTCTCGCCTGAATCAAAGGATGATGCGGACGCTGAGGTGGGATCGTATCACATCTTCAATGTGAACACCATCGGCCCCATCCGGCTGGCGCAAATCGCTATCGACTACTGGCTACAGAGCCGCGAGGTCAAGGGGAATCTGCTTTGGGTGTCGAGTATGGGCGGCTACATCCACTCCATCCAGACGCCGTTTTACTTTGCTAGCAAGGCGGCTGTTCTCAGTGTCGTCAAGTCGCTTCAGGGGTTGAAGAAGTTGGTGGGGATCAGGAACTCTGTTATCTGTCCTGGACCTACGAGGGTACGTGAATCTTGGAAGTCCACACGCCTGTCCACATAACCACAAAGACTGACATAAGCGCAGACGCCCCTCTTTGACCAAGAATTCTGCCGCGACCGCTTGCCAGCTGAAGATCTCGCCCTATCATCTGAGAACCTTGCCAACGCAATGTTCTCGCTGTTGACGGAGGAGCAGTATGGCAACGGCAACGTGCTCGAAATCATGATGGTTGGCAGCAAAGAGGAGCCCAAGATCCATACTAAGGAGGTGCAACTGGAAGCTCTGTACCCGACGGCTAGCCCCATGGGTGCGGGCACCAAGGCCATGGAGGCAGAGCTAAACTTTATGGGGATGATCGCTGAGAAGGGGATGCGGTCTAGTTGCTAAGTAGGTCACAGGCGCTAGTGTAGATAGGTTAACAATGTCAAGGCTATCCGTACATTTTCGAAGTGATTTTGAGGGATTACAGGCTGTTTTCCACGCCCTCAATTCTTAGGTTGGATCAAGAATGACTGTAACGGCATTTTGATACTCCGTAGGAGACTTACTCCCTGGCCCCCTCGCTAAGAGCGTTCATGGGTTTTTCCCTACTACCAACCAGCGCTTACAAGCTCCGGGGACTCGACCGGCTGCTCCGTTCTATGTACTGCCCGCGCAAGGCTCCCCTTGCCTAGTGGTGGATACTCCACGGTTCAGGATGCGGAACAAGAAGCCGTTCTTATCATGAGGAGTGACCCAAAGAAGCCCAGGCAACATCCAATTTGGAAGCCATAGGACCATGCCAGAATAGCCGAACGTGACTTCGGGATCAAAGATGGCAATGAAATCGAACTTTATTTGTCGCTCTAACACATTAAGGTATCTAGGTACTAATAAAAGTAACACAAGCAGCCGGCTACAAGACAGGATCGTATCAGAGAAATCCCAATTCCAATGACCCCCAGCCATAGTCCATGGCCGATTCATCATTCCCTACCGCCGCCGAATGGCGCGTAGGCCCCGTGGGCGAAAACGCAGTCTGGCCCCTAAACCCCGCCGGCGCTGAAGCCTGCCCGCCACAATCGTCCGGGAACTCGTGAAAGGCATAACACGTCGACCGGCCGAGGACCTCCTGCATCAACGCGACGAGCCGCGTGATGAGTGGCCGCACCATTGCCTGGTACGATTCTCTAGACGAGAACTGGCCGCTGCCGCTGCCGCCGCCGTAAACATTGTTGTTCCCGGGAAAGTGTAGAGTCGTGTAGCCGTTATTGGGCACCCCTGAGATGAGACCCATGAACTGCCGAAATACCTGGGCGGCTTGACGCGCCTGGTTCCAACCCTCGGGGAAGGCCTCGAGGATGCTGACGATGACGGCGACCTCGTCGCGGGCGGAGAAGGATGTGCATTCTGCGGCGCAGGCGATGAAGCTGTGGATCAAGACCAGACCGACG